GGCTGGTGAAACAAAGTGAGGGTTTTCCCTCTCATCCCTGGAAGCCTTTCAAACCAGGGTCTTGGTTCCTTTGCCCAAGTTGGCCCACACACCCTTGGGGTCATGCAAGAGCTGGCTCCAGGCGTTCCAGCTGAGCTCTGATGTCATGTGGTGACTTCATGGGGACCTGAGTCCCCACAAGCTTTCAGCAGTACTGAGTTAGCAATAGCGAAACTTTCCAAAACAAATGTTCTTTTAAATACACCTCACATCGTGGCATCTGCTTTTCCCTGCAGCCCTGCAGTGGTTTCTCCCTGCCCTCAGCAGCCTGCACTGAGCCGTGGTGCCTCTTGCCCATCTCTGCTTGCCCAAAGGTGCATTTTGGGAGCCCAGCCCTTGCTGCAGCCTCTGACAATTGCCATGAGCTGGTGGTGAGGGGTGCACTGTGCACTCCTGCAGTGCCTCTCTGCAGAGCAGGGTGGCTTCCCACTGCCACAGGGCAGGGATGGATGGGATATTGGGAATTAGGAATTGTTCCCTGGCAGGGTGGGCAGGCCCTGGCACAGGGTGCCCAGAGCAGCTGTGGCTGCCCCTGGATCCCTGGCAGTGCCCAAGGCCAGGCTTGGAGCAGCCTGGGATGGTGGAAGGTGTCCCTGCCCATGGAAGAGATGATTTTTAAGGTCCCTTCCAACCCAAACCACTCTGTGATGCTGTAATATTGCAGCCGCCTCCTGCACTTTCTGGCAGAAAGAAGAGTAAAAAAGCCCAGGGTGAAACCGTGATCACCCCAGTCAGTTCCTGGGTTTATTTTTGCCTCCCTGGCTCTGTGGTGGGAGGCTGGCCTCCCTCCTGGATGGCATGGTGCCCGTGCTCCCAGCCTGCCAGCTCCAGCCTTGGCTCTGCTCTGTGCTGCTGGCCCTGATGGGATCTCTGGGTCCTTTCCTTCCCACAACACCAGGGAGGCAGCGAGGTGACATTAAAGCCCTGGAACAGTAGATAAAAGGCCCTGGCTGTATTTATTGAGTGTTACAGATAAGTAATCCACTCTGCTGTCAGTGTCTGCAGAAACAGCAAATAAAGTATACATGGCCCTTGCTTTGATGTGATGAAATCTCCAGAGGACACTCACTTCAGTGGCGCTCACAGCGCAGCTGTAGCTGAGTCCTGCAGTGGAAAATACAAGATTTTCATGTCTTCATGCATTGCTTTAAAAATATCACTATGGCTGTATGCTGGGCAATTCTGTGTTCTGAAAGCTAGGGTTGTTTTGTTGGTTTTTTTTTGGTTTTTTTTTCCAAAATGTTATTAAAATCATCTTAACCGTTTTTGTTGGAAGGGGAAAAATTAATAGTTATTTTGTGGTTTCATACCCAGCGCTAAAACAACAGTCTGGTTTTCATTTAAACCAATAAAAGTATGGAAATTCAAAATGAAGGTTCTCTCCATGTCCTTAGATCAACTTGTTGGCCTTGCTGAAATACATAATGGATGGAGCAGGGGAAAAACCTCAATCCTACAACTCTTAGCTTTGTTTTTGCACATAGCTCAGCTTTTTTTGTTGCTGGATTTCAAATTTGACGTCACTTTCTTGCCTGTCTTCTCAAGCTATAAAAACTTCCTCGATTTGGTAAATGTGCAGCTGCTCAGAACCCAGTGAACCACAGACATTTTTTTGGTTTTTTTTTAAAGAACCTAAGCAGTAGTGAAGGAAATTAGTTGGCAAACACGCATCAGTAACTGAATTAATGCACTTTCAAATTTTGGGGTGTAAAGCTGACTGTTGGGGGTGATGGGTTTTAGTCAGTTATGGTTTATGGTGTGGTCAGGAAGAGACCAGAGGCACAGCTGGGGCACAGAAAACCCCAGCCAGCCCCAGGGGAGCAGCCCTGGGATGGGTGCTGGGGGATCCCATCCCCAGGGATGCCCTGACATGGCCCCAGTGACCTGGGACAGCTGCCCTGAGCCTGGCCAGGGCTCCAGGGTCCTCCTGCTTCCAGCCTGCAGGTTCCCTCCCAGCTCTGGCTTAGCCTGGGACAGGGCAGGGCTGAGTGTGGAGGAACCTTTTTTCACAGAAAGGCTGCTCAGACCTCGCCAGGGCCTGCCCAAGGAGCTTTGGAGTGCCCATCCCTGGAGGTGTCCCAGGAAGGGCTGGAGGTGGCACTCAGTGCTCTGGGCTGGGGACAAGGTGGGCATTGGGCACAAGGTGGATTTCATGGGCTAGGAGAGATTTTCCAGCCTCAGGGATCCTGTGTGAGCTCCTCAGTGTCTCTGGGGTTCACATGTCACCAGGTGAGCAGCCTGTCACTGTCCCCAAAACACCTGCAGGCACTGCAGCACCTGGCCTCAGCCTGGCTGTTATCTCATCTCCTCAAGGCTTGGAAAAGTCACTTCTTCCCCAAGCTGTTCCTTCCCCTGCCACTGGGAATGAGCTGCCCTGGCTGTTTACAGCCCTTGGATCTGGAAGTCCCAGCCCTGGAGCTGCCTGTGTTCCCTCTTCTCCCCTCTCCTGCCCTCTCAGCTGGGCTCATTTCCTTCCTTCCTGCACTTCCCCATCATCCCCTGGCCAAGCACCACGTGTTTACACCTGACAAAATCTCAGTTTATCCTCAATCCAGCTGTCCAGCCTCCACCCTGATGACCCCTGACACCTCCTGAGGCTCTGTAGCTGGTGAGGCAGCTCCATAAGGACATGGTGGGTCTCCAAAAAAGTGCTGCAGAGCCAGCTGGCCACCCCAGCTCTGGCAACACTGAATGTTGTGAAGGTTGTACCTGCTCAGGGGCTCCCTGTAAGAAACCTGGAGAGGATTCCCACCCTGAGGAAGCTCAGCTCCATCACGGGAAATTTGCAGGAGGTCTTGTTTGTGTTCCTTTCCCCAAGGGAAAAGGAGTAGCCAGAGCAACCTGGACAAAGGGTGGTGTTCTCCATGGGATGTTACAACTTCACCTTTGCTTGTTTGCAGGACTTTTCTGTTCTTTTGAAGCACAGCGAGAATGGGCAGTGCAGTGTGGTTGTTCGTGGTGGCTGTAAGAAGGAGCCTGCTGGTGGTGGACACCTGGGAGCCAGGCTGGGCACAGCTCCTTCCTCAGAGGGGACAGGGGGTGGCTTCTGCGTGACATCTGTGCCCTGGGCTGTGTTCAGTGTGTTCAGCAGCAGCTCTGCTCCCTGGCTGGGCTCCTGGGGTCTGCCAGGAGGAGCTGGGACAAGCCCCAGGGAAATCAGTGCTGGAGCTTGGAGAAGAGCCCCGGGATGTTCCTGGATGCTGGCACCACGTTAAGCTGATGAGAACTTGGGCCAGGGAACACTTCCAGCAGGGAGGGATGTGCAAGGTCCTTTCCTGCTGGCATGTTTTCCTCCAGGGCAGCCCTCCAGCCTGCCCCACAGCCCTGCTTAATCCCTGCCTCCAAGCCATGAAATCCATCCCTGAGGGCTTCAGGGAAGCTGTGGGAGAGGATGGGGGTGACAGCCTGCAGGAGACAGTCCTGCCAGAGCCTGGGTCCTGCCTGAGCAGCTCAGAAATTTGGGATGGAAGCCAGTGCCCTGCCTGGGGCATGCCAGGCTGCTCTGGGCCTTTGGCATGGCACCCAGGAGCCCTGGGTCCCAGGGGAGGAAGAAAGCAGCGTGACCTTGGAGTAAATCCTCTTTGGAAAGATCTGAGTGCAGGGATGAGAGGCAGCTGGACCCCTCAGCTCCTTCTGGGAGGGAACACTGGAGAGGAAAACGGAGCTTCTCCAAAGCCCTTCGTGCTCAGCCAGTCCTGCTTCCTCCACTGGCAGCTCCACCACCACCTACCTCTGGCCAGGTGCCTCTTTCTCCTCCTTTCCTCTCCCCAGCTTTTGTGGCTTGGTCAGTGCTTCCTTCTGCTCTCCCCATTTCTCTGTTCCCCAGAATATTTGTGGGGAAAATGTGAAAAAAACTCCCCAAGTTTTTTCAGTTTGGTTTTTTTTTTTCCCCTTGGGGGCATTTCAGTGTGGGTTTCTGGTGGGTTTTGAGGTGGAATCTGACTTGTGATCCTCTGGTGTGCTGGGCATTAAGTCAGGCTGGTGGGGAAGACCCACCAGGAGCCCCTGAGTGAGTTTGGTCAGCCTGTCCCATTGTGGGGTGAGCTGTTCCTTTCTTCATACAATACCAGCTGAGCTGTTGTCTCTGCATGTGCTGCTCCAGCTCACAAGAGCCTTGGACATCCATTCAGTCACAGGAAGAGAGACAAGGAACAGAACTCCACAATTAGCCAAGCTGGTGGATTTCCCCGTGGCATGAAATTAAATAGTATTTGAATGCTCACCGTGGGGCTAATGCTACTTTGTGCAGCTTTTTATGAAGATTACGAAATCGCAGCAAAAAGCAGATCTTGCTGTAATTAGAAGATAGAAGAGTTAATCATAGGGAGGAATTAGGATTCATGCTTGCGCTGAAATTTTCTAAACTGCTTTAAAATTCCTTCAGCTGAAGGAGCTGAACTTCACTACAATCCTTTTGTAGGCTGAAGTGCAGTTTTCTTCATTCATTTGAATTGCAGCACAGAAGTCACAGGGCTCTTTTCCCCAGAGGTTCAAGAGGCTCTGAGTTCATTTTCTTGATATGTGAAGTCATTTTGGTGCTTGTCGAGCCATACGACCATTTACTTGATGTCCTTGAGGCAACCCAAGCATTTTATTGCTATTTATTCACCCTTTGAGACAAGATTTGAAACAAAAAGTCACCAAAATCATCGAAGTTTCAAGTCAGAAGCAACTAAGGGAGAGCTGGGAGATGAACCCCCAGCAGCTGGGGGAGGGTCGTGTGTGAAGGACACACTCCACATCATACACCATTAAAACTTCATGAAGAGGTGTCCCAGAAAAAAAAAAATACTACAAAGCACTAGGCTTAATATTAAATTCTTAGTTTTAGCAGTCTGGTCATTTTCAGGAAGGAATAATCAGCTTAACTGCAGCATTCCCATATTTAATGTTCTGAGCGGGGAAGGGATTGTCTGATTTTCTTTCCCTTTTTTTTTTTTTTTTTTTCTCTGTTTTCACAGTAATTAATGAAAGTCAAAAGCAGCAACTGGAATCTGTGAGCTACTCATCCCGCTACGCCCTGGGACTGTTTTATGAGGCTGGCACAGGGATTGGTGTCCCCTGGGCTGCTCGGTACATCGCCGATAATCCCTGCGTCCGCTTCATCTCCATCGATAACGAGAAGCGCAATATAGGTCAGTGCTCCCATTATTTCCCTTAAACACAGCCACAATGGAGGGTGCAGAGCATGAGAAATGCTGTTTAATTGAGTGTTGCTGTTCTGAGCAGAGCGAGTGTTTAACTCCGGGCCGCAGCGGATGGCGTTTCATGTCACTTCTGGCCTGTAACGAAGCACACAATGAGAGTGGGCCGGCCCCCAGAAAATCAGCCCCCAGCACATGGTTTATGTTACTGCGTTTATAAAACCAGTGTCAGGGGATTGGAGACATCAAAATGTTGCTATTCCAAGAAAGAGCTGGGGTTCCTTTGTTTAAACACTCGCCAGTTTGTCTCCCGTCACCCGTTACTCCACAACTCCTGCTCTTTCCTCAAGGCTTGGAGGCAAGAATGACTTGGATAATTGGAGCTGCCCAGCCCAGTTCAGAGTTAGCCAGGCTGCTCTTGTCATCAGGGAGAGTCCCTGCAATGGCTGCACGTGCTTGGTAGGGCTTGGAGAATATCCCCCAAGACAGAGCCTTCTCCTGCCTTTCTGGAGGATGGCAGTTGAGGAAGTGTGTGTTTTATTTATTAAATGTGTTTCACCTACCAGGAGTGGGGTGGCATAGAAAAGCTCAAGAAAAAGCACTTGCAGACCAGTTAGAGTCACAGAATCCAGCATGGTTTGGCTTGCAAGGGACCTTAAAGACACGAAGTTCCACCCCCTGCCATGGGCAGGGACACCTTGCACATGTCCAGCCTGGCCTTGGGCACTGCCAGGGATCCAGGGGCAGCCACAGCTGCTCTGGGCGCCCTGTGCCAGGGCCTGCCTACCCTCCCAGGGAACAATTCCTAATTCCCAATATCCCATCCATCCCTGCCCTCTGTCACTCTGAAGCCATCCCCTGTGTCCTGTCCCTCCATCCCTTGTCCCCAGTCCCTCTCCAGCTCTCCTGGAGCCTCTTTTAGGCACTGGAAGGGGGTCCGAGATCTCTCCAGAGCTTTCCCTTCTCCAGGCAGAACAATCCCAGCTCACTCAGCCTTTCCTTGTAGGAGAGATTCTCCATCCCTCTCTGCAAGCACAAATTTGTTGTTTTCCCTAAGAATTTAGGCACTTGATCTGACAAAAGAGAAGAATGGATGGACTGGCCAAAATAAGGATGTAACCATCCTGATGTGCTTTTTCCAGCAGGGACTTAGGTGAATATGTGAAAAAAAGAGCCAAGGAAAGCCAAATACAGAGTGATCTTTTCCTCTGGCATTGTCTCCTTGTTACTGACAGCGTTCAGCTGGAGATATTCTTGCATCTGTGAGTCTGTTGCCATTGTTGTGTTCAATGAAAAATACCTGACAGTTAATAGGACCTACTGATATTATCCTTACCAGTGTCAAGGAGGAATCCACCCATACCTTCCCCACCTCTCTGCACGTGTGGTCTCAAAGCCCCAGCACCAAGAACAGCAAATATGGAGCTGTGATGGAATTATCAAACAGCTTTGCTGTCTCCAGATGCAATTGAACCAAGTACAAAGCACATTATTTGGGGCATATTGTTAACAAATACATAGAACATCAGTGTTGACACATACCTTTCTCACTGAAATTTCGCTGGAATTGTGGGAGAGTTCTGTTTATATGAGCAAATTTTTCCAAGAAGAACAAATTGTGTGTGTCTCTTCCTAGGAGACAGGCTTTAGACAGCACAGGCAAGGGAGGTTGAGTGTGAACTTTATTTACATGTGAAACCCTGCAACCCTGCAACCAAAACACATGAATAAAAAGTTCCTTTATGCTTGTTTTAGCACATATGCAAGTATTTTGCATCTGCATTTTTCTTCCTGTGCTTTTGACTGCCCTCCAGAAGATTTCAGTGGGAGGCACAGGAGCACCTCGCTGTCCCTTTTAACCCCACTCATCATCTTCCCACTCTTTCATTCTTCAACCTTATTATTTGGACTCATCTGAAGAGAGGATGGTGACGACCAAAAAGTAAATATTCAGAGAAAGCAGAATTGCTGGGTGAGGCAGCTGAGATCTTCCAGGGCAGACATCATTCCCAAAAAGCCATTAGTTTCTCCAGAAGAAACACCTCTACATCAGGTGTTTCTTCACCTGATGTATCCACAGTAAATGGGGGCTTATCTCACCCTCACTGCCACCTCAAACTTTTTCATAAACAGCCTTGAACAGTAGAGATCCAGAGGAAATAACTGTAGCTGGTAGTTGTCCCCTGCAGGAGGTTTGGAGCTGGATGATCCTCAATCCATTTTATGATTCTATGATCCCGTGAGCTTTCTGCTGAGGGACTCAGATAACATCTCCCCTAAAGCAGGTAGTCCAGCCCTCAAAGGCCAACAGCAAAGGCTGTTGGAAGCCCAGACTGTCCTTGTCACTTGCCTGAGACGTGGCAGTCCCTGCCTTGGCTCAGTAAAGCAGAGACATCTCCAACTCGTGGGCGTTTCACCAGTGAAACCCAACCCGGCCTTGCTGTCATGATCACGCAGCGGGGTGGGTTTGATAAAGCAATTTCCCTGATGCCACCAATTCCTGGTGTAATCAGGAGCCTCCAGGAGGGAAGGCTTTTTCCAGCAGCTGGGGATCCCAGCTGCTGTGGGCAGAACCCCATCCCTGCCTGCAGAGGTGATGTTATGTAAGGAAGAGCCCACCAGAAGCATGTGCTGAATTCCCCGTGTGGCGTGCATGAATATTAAACACTTTGTGGGATTGGCTGCCTCAAACACCCCATCCATATTTATACCAGGTCGGGGGGGACAGTGGGAATTCTCCAGCATCAATTATTTCTGGAATACCGCAGTCTTTGCATCTCTCTGCATTCCAGGAGGACTAAAGATAGATGACACATCAAAGGGGAAGTGGTTCCTTTCTTTTGCTCCAGGATCGTGGGGTTATGTAATTTAAAGGGAAGATCTGCCTCACAGGTTTTTTGGCATTGTATAATTCCTGAGTATCCTCTTTAATTTTGAAATAGAGATTCCTTTCCTTCCTGAAATAAGAATTGTTAGGAAGATGAAGGAGTTAAGGAACTATTTAAGTTTTTGCTTGTTACGCAGCCAGTTGTGTTGTAATCCTCTGCCAGCCCTGCCTGCCTTTTAGAAAAATAATCAGAAACTGTTGGTAAGGCTAATGAGATGCTGGGTTTCTGAATATGAAAAAGTCAGTGCCATTCTTTCCATGACTGCTCCCAAAAGTGCCTTGTCAGACAGTAGATTTTATTCCAGGGAGAAGATGGGACCTTAGGAACCACGGGAACTTCTGAGGATAACTGGGGAAGCTCGCTGGCCCTCCTCCCAAACAGCAGCATGGCATTTTGAAAGTGACCCTCCACCTCTCTTGCTTTCTAGGTGTAGTAAAGTAGATCACTGCTCTTTTTTACACTTTTGGGTAGGGTTTATGAGGCCTGCACATTGACTTCTCTTTTGGCACCATGTGAAGCCTCCCAGGGAGCAGGGGTGCAGTTCCAGCCTGTCCAGAGGTGTCCAGCTTCTCTGCTGCCCTCCACGCTGACCCAGCAGCATTTCCTTCTTCCAGGGTTTGTTTAGTGTGGCAAAACCCCTTCTCCTCCTGCTACCCAGGACCAGAATGGGGTTCAGAGGGCAAAACATATCTCCCCAGGAAGCTCGCAAATCCCTGAGGGTCAGGAAACAACTGCATCATGGTTTTTATCAGGATCTGTTATGGCTTCAGGTTTTGGGCAGCAACGTGAGAAAAATACTCAATGCTTTTCCCTTAAAATGAGGAGAACATTCCTGTGGGAGATGTGTGCCTATCACATCCACGGATAGTTTTCTGCTGGAGACCAGGTTGTAACCCTTGGATGACCCCTGAGATCATTTTGGAAAGCTGGAATGTGTCATCTTCCCACAGGGGATCTCTGCCTTGAGGAGCTGGAGATTTCTTCAGTGGCAGAGCAGAGATAAGGAGTTTATCAAGCTTGGTGCCTAACAGCCAGAATGGCCAGCAAGTGTTCAGCCACCTCTTTCTTTGTGGGTCAGAAAACACTGGTTTGATGAAAATAAAATCTTCTTCTAAGAATGTGCTAGTCCAAACAAAGGTCCAGCCAAGGAGAGGCTTCCAAAGGAGGGAGTTGCTGCGTAAGGGAGTGAGAGGGAATCATTTAACTGAACAACCAGCTCAGCTGAAATGCAGCATAACCCACACAGAGTCCTTGCTCCATCCTGCTCATTGAGGCACACAAAAATCCCCTAATCCAGCCAAATTCCCTGGCTGCTGCTTGTTAGGCCACATCTGTAAGGTGACAAGCCAACATGCCAAGGGGACAGAAGTCACCTGCTGCAGACAACCTGCAGCCAGCCCCAAATGTAACAAAGCCTGGCCCTTTCCAGGTCTGCTGGGATCATTGTCAGCACCTGATCTGTGATTTCATAGATGAGAACAAATTTTTGTGATAGGACAAAGTGTGATGGTTTTAAACTGAGGGAGGGTTGATTTAGATGAGATTAAAACCCCAATTTTTTTACAGTGAGGCCCTGGCACAGGTTGCCCAGAGAAGCTATGGATGCCCCTGGATCCCTGGAAGTGTCCAAGGCCAGGTTGTTGCAGAGATTGTCCTCCCTGACAGAGGTTCAGAGATTGCCCTCCTTGTGTTGTTACTTCATGTGCTTTTTTTCCCATCTGGAAAAACAGAGTGGTACCACGGATATTTTTGTTCTTACTGACTCCTAGGCCAGAGACACAATTGTCAGCATGTGGGGAAGGCAGGTGTGAATGAGCAATCCTTCAAAAGCACCTCTCTTCCTTTCTTTCTCCCAGAGTCTCCTGACATTGGGCCCTCAGTCGTGGTGCACACCACTGTGACCTTCGGAAGGCAGCACCTGGACTCAGACCCTGCAGAGGTGCAGCAGATCATCCTCAGCCACCTGCAGAAGATTGTGCCCTCCCTGCCTAAACCCAGCAGCATCAAGTGCCAGAGATGGAGATACTCCCAGGTACTCAGCTGGGAGGACCTGCTGGGGCTGCGTTTTCCATCCTCAATATCCATAACACATTCCTCCACGCAGCCATGAGCAGCATCCAGGGCTGGCCAGCAAAGCCAGGTCATTTTTAGCCATTTTTTAACATCGTGGGCCTGGCTCAGCAGTGAGTTATGCAGCTCTCCTGGTAAGCAGGGGTAGGAGCAGTGTACAGGAAGGAAGTAAATCCCATGTAATTTGGTGGGATTTTCACTGGTATTTAAAAATCATGACTCAATGCATCTCTCTGCATCCTAAAATACGTGGCGATATTAGCAAAATTCCCACCCTGCCACAGAAGAGCAGAAGTACAGACCTACTAATTGTTATTATTTGATTTGGCCCAGCTCAATTTAACAGAATGTTATGCGAAAAGTATTTTAAAGTAAACTACCTAAGGGTAATAATAGCAAAATGTGTATATTTCGCAGTCTTCTTTTAAAAATCCAAGGAAATTGTTGGCGATTTCCTAAAGTATTGGAGTGTATCTCCATGTTTACCCAAAGCCTCTCAAGTTAATTTACATTGGTGAATTTGAACGTGGAGGTTGATGCAAAATATTTACTTTTAAAGCAGTCCCCTAAAATTTTTTCCTTTTTTGAAGTTGCTGTGGAGTCTGCTTGTACCCCTTGATCTGCATCCAGTTTGGGAACCTGGTCTCGTTAGCACAAAGTTTATTTTTCTGCAAGTAAAGTATTGGTGGATTGCAAAAGCGACCTTAGCATGGGTATTAAGACTTACATAAAACCTATGAAAATCGTGGTGTGTTCTCTAAGTTCCTCTTCATCAGTGCAGGGGGGATTTTTTTGACAAACAGGTGTCACTGCTAAGGTTCCCTGGTTGTGACATCTGGACTTTTCTCCTGCCTTACCTGCTGAGAGCTGCTGGTGCTCACGAGAGCTGTGGTTGGAAGCAGGGAGAAGAGTTGGATGCAGCTCTAGAAAGGGTTCCCAAAGCCCATCCAACTCTTCTGTTGCTGCTGCCAGCCAGGGCTCTGAGTCCAGCAGCTGCTGGTGCCACAGGAGGAATTATCACCAGCCTGTAATTTGGTGGATGAATGTCAATATGTCTTAGGTTGCAGATAAGTCCGTGTAGGTCAGACCTGTTATCTCAATAAAGAGATCGCTAAAGCCACCCTGTAAAATAATCACTGCCTAAATGAAATATCTGGGGCACAGCTCCCTCTTTCTCCTAAAGCTCTCTTTACTTTCAATTATAATAAGCTGTTGCCACAGAGGCCAAAGGAACTGATAAGATGGGTGCCTGTTTCCCCTGACTCTTTTAGTTGGGATTTACCCTACTTGTTAATTAAATCCGGCTGTAACATCCTTCACATGGCCAAACACAATCCTGGGATTAAAATGCAGACATTACAATTATCCATGGCAGATGAGGGATTAGGACTTCCAAAATTCTACTGACACTACTTAGCAGCACAGCTGCAGCTCTGGATCCCTTTGCTCTAATTATGGTGAAGGCACCATTAGCATTCAGAGCCAGCAGCTTCCCAACCCACCGTGTGTCTTTGGCACAGTCACTTTACATGGAATTACTGAGGCTGGAAAACACCTCCAAGATCATCAGCCTTTGACCAAATATCAGGAGGGGTAGGAGCTGTTTGGTACAGCCAGCATCAAATAAAAACTGGGTAGCCAAGAAGAAAGGACACTCAAAAAAGACTTTTTCTGCCAAGTCTTTCTGCATTGTTTGTACTCAGCTCGATCTGTGAGAAAAATTCAGGAATAAATTAAGTACTGACTTAAAACTGGTCTGAGGGAGAAGCTCTGTCTGGATTTGCCATACTCCTCTGTTAAGCTGAATAAAGGGTGAGGGGTTGCAACTGGTTATTTCAGCTGGTTTCCTCCTTTGGAGAGATGCTAACACCCAGTAGCAGAAAATGCAGCCATAAATGTGGGTGCTTTGCATCTCATCCACATTTGGCATGGCAGAGGATGGCTCAGCAGTGGCCATTGAGGGTACATCTGAACCAGTGGAAAAATCCCCTGGATTCAGCAAGATTCCTTGGAAGCTGACAGTTCCACAAGAGGATACAGCAATGGTTTACTGGGTGGAAATCCATGGAATGATCAAAAGAAAATTGTAAGAGTATCATGCTTCAGCAGCTTGGACAGCAGCAGGAATTTCTGCATGGAAAGGCTGCTCAGGCCTTGGCAGGGGCTGCCCAGGGAGCTTTGCAGTGCCCATCCCTGGAGGTGTCCCAGGAAGGGCTGGAGGTTGCACTGAGTGCTCTGGGCTGGGGACAAGGTGGGCATCGGGCACAGGGTGGGCTCCATGGGCTGGCAGGGATTTTCCAGCCTCAATGATTCTGGGATTTTGTGATCCAGAGACAGGAGGTTCCCTTCCCTGTGTTGGACCTGCGTTTGCAAGCCCCACTTTGCTGATGTGAGATCACCCTCACACCTTTTTGGATCTCTGCACCAGGGTCAGACAAGTCGTATCTGCTGAGAATAAAACAGAACAGGCTGTAAAGTTTCTAAATTTCCACACACAATCAAGTTTTACTGTAATTATTCAACTCCCAGAAGTAAGTATTTTACTGTGCTACTTTGATGGTTAATGTTTGGATCTACCTTTTGGGGTAGGAGGCCAGGTTGGACAGGGCTTGGAGCAGCCTGGGATAGTGGAAGGTCCCTGCCCATGGCAGGGGGGGGGGGGAGATGATTTTTAAGGTGCCTTCCAACCCAAACCATCCTGTGCTTCTGTGATGTGCTTCTCAGGAATTCAGATCTTTCTGCTGTGTAATTCAGGTAAATAAAATACTCTCTCTTCCCACTCCCTTTATGTTTTTCATTCTCAGGTTACAAGAGCTGTGCCCAGTTGTCCAGGACAGATGATTCTTCACACTCAGCCTCTCCTGATCTGTGGGGGTGATGGCTTCACTCGTTCCAACTTTGATGGCTGCATAGAATCTGCCATGAGCCTTGCAGAGGCTGTGAAGCCTCATTTACAGCAATTTCAAACTCAGGCTGCTAAAATTCCTCTAGATTTGTTATGAATTTTGCTGTGATGGATCGAATTTGAGTTTAACATCGACATCATCTTGCAAAAAACAAATAAAGGAAGATGTATCGGGGCACTGGAATAATTATTGGGATGGAATTAAATTGAATTTGCCAGGATCTGTGCTCAGAGCGGTTACTTTGGTTAAAATAAGACTTTCCCTGGCTGTAGGCAGAGGCACAGAGCTCCAGCACTCTTGCCAGGTCTCCTGATACTTTTACAGCCCATGAAAATTATGTCAAGGAGAGGAGCCTGACTTGAAGCAGCACAAAAATCCATGAAGCTGCAGGGCTTATTCCTTGGAAATGCTTTATTTTCTCCTTGTCCTAGTGATAGGACAAGGAGGAATGGCTTCCCACTTCCAAAGGCAGGGTTGGATGGGATACTGGGGAGGAATTGTTCCCTGGCAGGGTGGGCAGGCCCTGGCACAGGGTGCCCAGAGCAGCTGTGGCTGCCCCTGGATCCCTGGAAGCTTCCTGGACCATCTGGGACAGTGGAAGGTGTCCCTGCCATGGCAGAAGGTGAAATGGGATGGGATCAGAAATTACTCAGAAGTTAACCAAGAAATAATTTATTTATTGAAAATTGGATTTTAACATGCCCTTCCTCTTCTATCATGTGTCACAAGTCCAGTATGTCTCTACCCCAGTACTGAAAATAACAAAATATAGCAGTTAGAATTTAAACCATTAGAAGAGTACAATTCAGCCTCTGTTTTTCTTATTTTACCCCTGCATTTCACCCAAATCTGACATCCTGTATCACACCAGCTGACCACTGTGATTTACTGCTGCCCTTGGCCATTTCCAGTGGAGTATTTTAAGTGGCACTAAGAATTTGAGATTTGTTCATTTTCAAAGTAGGCAGAAAACTGGATGCATCTTTGGCTCAATGGTTATTCTCTGAAGAGCTGTGATGCTCTTTCAGGGGCTTTGTATCAGCAGCAGCCTCTGACACCAGTGCAGATGTCTGTGACTCCTCCTTTCAGCAGTCTCTGAGCTTTGGTCACCCTGATGCCTCAAAGTACCCGAATCACAGATTCAGAGATGTTTTTTGTGTAATAAGATTTTCAATTTGGAGCTTTTTGGAATCCCTATGAGTCTCAAATTGCTCCTTCCTCATATCCCAGGGTCCCTGAGGCTGGAAAATCCCTGCCAGCCCATGGAGTCCCAGCTGTGCCAATGCCCACCTCGTCCCCAGCCCAGAGCACTGAGTGCCACCTCCAGCCCTTCCTGGGACACCTCCAGGGATGGGCACTGCAAAGCTCCCTGGGCAGCCCTGCCAAGGCCTGAGCACCCTTTCCATGCAGAAATTCCTGCTGAAAATATCATGCCAGTCTACCAGTTCTGCAGCACCCTCCAGGTTAAGGTGATTTGGGTAAAAGCTGCTTGGGGTTTTTTTAAGGTGGAGAGGAAAAGTTGCTGGATGTGTTCCTCTGGGCAGTGGGAACGCTGGGAGCAGGGAGATGTGGAATTCCCACACAGGGCGAGTGACAGGGTGATGTTTCAAAGAGCCCACTGTATCCAGGAGGGTGGCAACAGAAGAGACTTTTTTGGTTGATTTCCTGGGATTTTCCCTGATTTTTGATTAACTGGCAGATCCATCCATTCCGGCCGCTCTCCCCTTGTTCCCAGACAAGGGGGATGGCTGTGTCTGCTCTCATCTGTGCCACAAGCCCAGCCACTGCCTGAAGTGGAACTGGAGCCTTCCAGCTCCCAGACCACGGTGTTCTTGTCTTCCTCATCACAAGGAAAGCCACGGCCATGGGTTCTCAAAGCCTTCCAGCTCCCAGCTGTGGTAACTTCCACCCAGGGAACATCCCCTGGCAGGGCTGGCCCGTGGCACCCTGTGCAACCACTGCTCTTACAATGGGATCAGGAATATGGGAACAAGGCTGCAGTGGATGGATCTGCCATCAAAAGTCACATCCATCCAGGGAAAATCCCAGGAAATCAACCAGACAAGTCTCTTCTGTCTCCAGACACCTGGGCCGTGGTTTTGCGCAAGCATATGAAAATAATTTAAGAGATTAATTTAGTTTTGGAGACTTGGGGTTTTTGTGTTGGTTTGGTTTTTTTTAAATTATTTTTAAAAGTCAGCTGCAGGTGGGAAGTGCTGCCCAGCTGAAAGCACCCCTGTGACCACACTTCCTCTTGGTGGAGGGGCAGCGTTGTGCTGGTGCAGCCCCAGACCCAAAGCAGAGGTCTCTGCTGTGACACTGCCAGAGGAGTTTCCTCCCTCAGTCAGGGCAAGGAAGAGGAACCTGACCCTGTGCCACCCACACCGTGTCTGGGTCACCAGCCCAGCCTGGCACCAAGGGCTCTGTGGCTGCCTGGGCCAGGGCAGCGTTGGCTTGGCTGCAAATCCCAGAGTGACCAGCTCCAAGGGGCTGGGGACAGGCCACCAGGAGGCTGTGACAGGCCATTAGGAGGCTGTGCTGGATGCAGGATCCTGGCTGCTCCCAAGGAAGCACCTTGAGCCCCTGTGCAGAGATTTCTCTGGAGCCAGAGCAGGTTTTGCCTCTAATCCATCCCCTGGCTCAGCTGTGCTGTCCCTAAGCCGCTTTGTGTGGCAGAGCTGGAGCCCTGAAATCCCAGAGCCTTCTGCTGCTGCTGTGCCCTGATCGCTGCAGCACCTCCCTGTCATCCTCCCTGGGATTTGTGCTTCATTCCCACTTCCAGGTGGCACCTCCAGGATCAGCCCCACAGGGCATGGAGCAGCCCCTTTCCCGAGGAGGAGGAGGAGGAGGAAGAGTGACTGGCTTCATTTTCAAGAAGATCCAAGCAAAATTTCTCCCCTGGAGGTAAATAAATGGAAACAGGGAGAGCGTTGTGGCTTGTTGGAATCCGAAATGCAAGGAGCTCTCAGAACTTTGGGCCTGTAAGACCAAGCTTAGAATTAAACCCAGGATTTGATCTGAGACCTTAGAAAAGGCTTCCAAACTTAGGTGCTTGAAGTGAGAATGTGGATTTATAGTTTAAAGCATGTTTTTAACATGTTAAGTTAAAAAGAAGAAAAGAGTTTTAAAGATATAAAGATAAAAGTAGTTATGAAGGTAAACAAGAAGTTTAGAATGCAGTACTGTAGGTTTGTGTGTCATAACATGATTGGCTAAGAAAGCTGACACTGTAACATGAGTCCATGAGATTAAATATTTAAAGACTAAGTAAAAACCATAAATATCCTTGTTTTATTAGTCAATAAATCCTTAAGAAGTCTTGTAACTAGGGGTCTTGTGACATTTTAAACCGTACAATAAAGATGTGAGCCAAACTCACCCATCCTACCTATGTAAAAGATTAAAAAAAACCAAAAAAACAAACCACACCATCAAAACCAATTTAGAAGTCCCATTCTAACTCATTCAAAAATCCCCATAATGGCTCAACCCTAGTGGAGAGATTTCACGTTGGGTAAAGGGGGTGCAGGGCAGGTTTCTGTCATCTTGGAGGCTGTTGGGGACGAAACCCCTGGAGACCCTTGGGAAGCCTCGCGCTTGTCCTTTCCCGATTTCCATCCCAGGGAAAAACCCAGCCGGGCGTGTGAGTCCCCGAAGATCTGGGGAAGGGTTTTTAGCGCCGGGGGCTGGCCTGGGCTGGCAGCCAGCGCCGTGCAAGCGGGAAAACGAGCCGGTTCCGCTGTGCCCCTCCAGCCGGTCACGGGGCCGCTGCGGTCACCCGCAGCTCAGCGTGACACCATGGGCTGCGCACAGGCTGCAGCCACCTCCTCCCTCACCTGTGCCCGACATCCTTCCTTTCCCAGCGCTATCGGCCGCTCGCACCTGCCCCGCGCACCGAGCGCTCCTGCGGGCCCTGCAGGGTGACAGCGCCCCGGGCGAGGCTGGGACCGGCCTTTTCCAGCCCAGATTTGGGGGAAAAATTATTTTAAAAAGGAAAAAAAAACGTGGTAGGCAGTCAGAGCTGGAATATAGGACAGCCTCTGTCCCGGCAGCTGCTTCCCGAGCCGGAGCGCAGGGAAAGGGGATGAGCTGGCGGGAGAGGAGGGGCTCGGCCGCTCTCCTTCGCTGTCGGATTATATTCTTTTCCGACCCAGAGGCGTTTATTCTTTTATTTTTTATTCTATTCTTCTATTAAGATAATTTTAATATAATATATATATTAAACTATTATTATAACTATTATTCTATTAATATAATTTTATTTTTAGTTTTATTTTTTATTCTATTTTTCTATTAAACTTTCATTCTATTTTTAGTCTTAAGAGTGAGATGATACAGACGTTGTAATCCACACTATTCCAGTCAGAAACGATTTCTTAATTACAATTCAGGATAAGTGTTTCTTAGCCTGTCACTATGCTGTAAATACCTTAAAACTGATAATCTAAAATTACCCCTTGTAAATCTTGCTACAAAGTATCTTTCACAATTCTACTTCTCTAAAGTATCTAATCTTATTTATAAAACTACCTTTTAAAACTTGTTTCTAGATATATTCTTCTCTTAACAATATCTGCCTTACTCTATACTATTTCTAAGTCAACATTTCTTATCTCAAAGTTTACACACAAACACACACTATACGAGCCTTCTGTTAAGTTTTTAAAAATTTCTATAAAATTTTCTATAAAATTTTCCATTTCCCACACTTCTCCACCTTCTGCAGTGCAGAAAATTCTGGCTGAGCACCTCGAATTTAGCGAGGCACGGCCGCCGTTCCCGTTTGCAGCAAACCATTTACACATTCCCCGGCACGGGAGGGATGGAGCCTCGGGAACACGCCGGGACAAAGGGATTTTTGTTCTCGAGCTGCTCCCAGATGTGATGCTGCAATAGGCACGGGCTGTGCGCGGGTGTTGCTCTGTCCAGGGAGAGCTGGAGCGAGTCTGGTCCAAATCAGACCACCAGCACCCCTCATCCCATCACCTGGGGTTTGCTGCCTCCCTCAGCGCACCTGTGTAGTGCAAATCCCACTTTCCTTGGATTTAAAAGCAGTCCTGGGGGCCAGCTTGGGAATGCAAGCTGCAAGAACAGCAGGACGGGAGCAAGTGTGAATAATCCCTGTCACACATCACAGCTCCTGCTGGCCCCTGGCCCTCGCCAAAGGATTTTTGAGCAGCTCTGGGTTGGGGAGAAACAGAGGGTTTCTGCCCCAAACGTGGTTGGAGATGGTTCCTGGTATTTCACCAGAGCTCATCTCAATTCCACCCCCTGCACCATGTGCTGGAAGTGGGAAGTGAAACAGCAAATGGAAGGGACACATCTGCTCATGGTCCTGGTCCTTGACCGACCCTTTACCAGCCTCCTGCTCTGGGTGGATTTCATTTAGGTGTCCTGGGCTTTTCCCTTAGAACTTAACTCACAGGTAGGATTGCTGC